ACGCAATTTCGCGAAATATTATAAACGAGCCTCGCGTTTAGAAAATTTCATTAAAAGTTCTATTAAGAGAGCAAACTTGCTTGGGGTATTCGCGAGTTTAATAGAGAAATGCTGAGAGAATTAACGTGGAGAGTGCGTTTGTTACGTTCTCAAATGAAATATTGTGCGAATGTACCATCTGTGCAAAGAGTAATGCGCCGCACTTTGCACTTTTCATACAGCTTTCTCCTTTTTGTATAACGAGAATAATGCCCCACTTTCCCGGAAATTCACAATATTATGAACTGTTAACGATATTATTCTGATCGTTCGTCGTCTCAAGTGGTCATAAAAAATATTATTTTATTTCAGACAGCGAAATGATAAAATGGAAAAGCGTTTCTGAAGACCTCTTTTAAATCAGAAATTTGATATTTTAATAAATTATCCTAATTGTCTTAAATACAATCTTTAAAACTACACAACTATAAGTCACATCAGAATCAAATTTAATAAGAATTGAGAAAATAAATTAAATTTTTAAAAATTTAATTTTTCGGTATATTTGAAAAAAATCAAATATTTTTTATATAAATCATTACATAGGTAAACTGATATGATTGCCACAATATGCAGCAATTTGATTGAAAATTTAGAATTGTTATATTATATTTATAAGAATAAATATATTTATATGCAGTTTACAATGGTTCAAATTTTTGTCATGTTGTTGTAACAATATAAAATAAAAAATTATTTATAGATTGCCATATTTCTAACATTATGTTATAATTTTTATATCACTATGTAAAGCATTTTTTGAATAAACGTTATTAATTTTATTTATTCTATTTCATTTTCTCATGTTGAAATTATGATTATCACTTGAACATTCGTAAAGACACAACTTTTTTGCATTGATTTATTATAAGGTGAAATGGCAGGCAAATTTTTGTACATTAGTCTAAGTATTTCCTTTCATTTTTCACGTCATTTTCGCGTCCGAAATGCTATCAGCGGAACGCAACAGTTGACGATTTGTGATTTAAAGCCACTTTTGACAAAGTGACATCTAAAAGTAATATTTTATTCACGGATGAGTGGAGACACGTCCCATTTTCCCGGCATCTATTTGACACTTACCTCTCAGAAACCGTGGCGTCGCTTTACTTTTTCGTTTCGCCGACTTTTGTTTCAATTTCATGCTACCTGCAGTCTGCAGCAGATATGAAATGCAAAAAGTCACGGAGGACAGTAACAAAGCGTCTTGTTTTCAATCTCCGTTTTCCGAGTTTCCGAGGTAAGCTGCGATCGTTAAACATTAACTCGAGCTAAATATTTTAATCCTTTGTTTCTGAATCTCTCCGATAAAGGCTGACAACAGTCACGACGATTTTTCTCGCGTCCGCGTAATCGAACCGAAGAGACTCACGAGGATTAATCAACGTTAAATTTGCCGAGATTATTAATAGTCGTTTCGACAAAGTCGCGATTTTATCTCGCGGCGAGTGTCCGCGGGATTTTGCGGAAACGGAAACGAACATCCGTCGACGTCAAAGTTCGCTAACACGACACGTCGAAAACGTTGATTCCGTCAATCGATCCGGGATAGACGCGGCGCAGCGTAGAAAGTTGGACGTCGACAACATGCCACCAAGGCAATCGTAAGTATTGATCGACGCTTCAAACGAGCGACGCCGTCAATCGTACCATCGAACTTCATCAGTTGCAAAAAAAGTGGTCAGCGTGATGTCGACAAAGCGAGAGATTGGAGAACGTAACGATAAGCGCTCTTCTCTTCATTGATACCTCAACCCCGCGGTGTGAAACGCCGATTGAAAGAAGGACGTTGACAACTTCGTTTGTTAACTCGTCCAGGATGTTAAATTCGAGAGAAAAATTCCTGAGAAATCCTAAGATTTCCTGATTTTCGAGATACTTTTCTTAAGTGGAATAAAAATATTTTTAAATCTCTTATATCTTACAAATAAATACATATTTATTGTGCAAAATCGTTAATATTTTATAAATCAAAAAATAAAATTAAGAATCACTTCAGAATTTTAATTAAATTTCAAAAATTTTGAAAAAAGTTACAGACTTTAAAAAAATCAATATTTCATATTGCATAAAATTGTTAAACTTTATTTTCAAAAGCTGGAAAACTACGATGTATAATCGGAACAAAATTCAATTTTTATAAAACTATTAAATAAATATCATCATCATTAAATAAAACTAGCAATTGAAATTATTTCAATATG